CTCTGAATCGGGTCTGTAGTCACGGGTGGAATGGAATGGGTATTCACAGTTGAAGGGAACCATTGATTTGGATTGACCCTTGAGTTCCTGCATGAATTTTTCTCGTGACGCTCTTTGTTATCCGAACGCGTGAATGCTCTATTGCAGTAGCGGCAAAAGTGTGGCATTATCCAATCAGAATTTTATCAAGGTAACACGACTCCCATTTCGTGTCACAGCGATACTAATGAAAAAATGCAAGGTTCTCTGCTTTTTATGTATTATTGTCTCACCACTTTCCCTAACCTATCCCCGCCTCATTAACACCCTCTTCACCCGCGTGTAAGATATCTTTGTTCTCGCTAGATTTTGAGAATGTGTCTATTTTGGCACAGAGTTGATCGTATTTTTTCTGTAATTCAACCAATTCAATTTTCACCCGTGTGTCGTAAGATATCTTGGGTGTCTTTTCTTTCCTGCCTTTCAGTACTTTTCGCTCACTTTGTCGCTGTTGTAGCAAGGATTGATATTGTTCTTTGTGTGCGGTAAGATTCTTTTCAATCTCTTGAATCGCTTGACCTATGACCGTACATTCTACTTGATGGTATGCATCATTGACACGTTTCTGAGCTTCAGGACTATGCATCTTAGGGTAACTTTTCATTGATTTCAATCTTTGGGGGAACGTTCAATTCTCGGCACGTTTTTTATATTCCTTCAACACATTATCCTGATACTTTACGCGAGCATGAACAACATGCATTTTTTGTCGATACGATTTTAGAACTGCGGAAAGATCCTGAGTACTCGCCATCGTCCACACTCTTCGTGAGCAGGAAAGAAATGAGTGTGGAGGTAGACACTTCGGGTTCTATCATATTGCATACATCCTTCTTCGTTATGTGTAACAAACTTTAAAAGAACGCGCACTTTGAAATATTAATTATAATTCAAAGTGCGCGCTCATATAGAACCAAATGTTTATTTTTTTCTTATATACGAAACGTAACTGTCCATCTCGTTCATGTGGGATCGTATATTTTCTATTCTTCTTCGTCCTCCTCCTCCTCCTCCTCTTTCCTCCTCTTTCCTCCTCTTTCCTCCTCTTTCCTCCTCTTTCCTCCTCCTCATTCCTCCTCCTCCTCATTCCTCCTTCTCTTTCCTCCACTTCTTCCTCTTCCTCCCCTCCTTTTTCTTCAAGTAATATAATTTATTATTCACATTTACTCACTCGTTCTAGTCATTTTATTCCTCAACTTTACTCAGTTCGTGGGACTCATATACACTCGCGGTAAGACATTACCACTAACAAATGTGACAGTTTAAAACAGTTTATTACAGTGGTAATTCTATATACACTCTTTCCTCCTCTTACTTTTCCTGCTTCTTCGCGCGCGTCCGGAATGCGGTCGCGTAGCGACCGTGGCAATGTTTCCACGTTTTAGTCATGTTTCGTCACATGTAAGTCCATATCATATGAGCTAAATAAGTCTTTGGATTATGCTCCTTGTAATTCTTCCAATCGCTTTATCACATATAGATGTCGAGGTTTTGTGTAAAACGTGCTTGTATATAGGTACTTGCTATGTTGCCTCTCTTTTACCGCTTTTATTTTGTGTTTAAACGGAGTATCCAGGAACGGTTTGATTGTATTTATCTTCTCTTCGACTTCTATGTAGGGATGAATTTCAGTGAGATACACCACTTGTCTGATTGGATGAAATCGAACTTTCTTCATCATCACTTTGGTCCCATGTATGATCATACCATTCCGACTCATAGCCACTCTTATACACCCATTGCTAGATTTCCATTGGTCTATCATTGATTGACACACGTCATNTTCCATTGTTTGTCTCACTCTGATTGACTGTTAGGGTTTTTATTTTGATTTTGTTACGGGAATAAGTGGGTTAGGGAATTGGGCTTAAGGTGAGAATTAGGGGTATTCTCTTTTTCCTGTGTTGTGTGACAATAAACATTACGTATGCGAAAACAGTGTGTTGAACTTAATCCCGCCGCCATCTTCGATTCTTTTGTTTTAAGAAAACCGTTAAGGTTTAAAAACCCTAACCCTAATAGTCCTAACCCTAATAACCCTCATAACCCTCATCCTAACCCTAAAAACCCTCTTACACCTACGCCAGATTTAACCCTTATAACCCCCTCGTACACCAACGCTAATTTTACCCTAATAATCCCCTCGTATACACCTACGTGATATTTAACCCTAAAAAGCATCCTCGCCCACCTACGCGGTATGAATAACTAATTAGACCCCACTCGGTCGAATCACTCGGACCCAGGCACTGCAGGAGGTGCCAGTAAGGCCCCCTACACTACTAATGGCACTTTTTCTAAACCCATGAATATATTTGGCAAGGGCTATTTCTATTTAGAATGCTGAAGTTGACAATGATTCTTCTGAACTTCACAGAAATTATAATAATTACCCATATTAGTAGTAAAAGAGGGTCTCAATGGAGCGATGGTTTTTACGGCTAGTGGTTAAAATTTTGGCCAATTTACGGTTCACTGTTTTAACCGTATATTGTTATCATTTAAGATATCAAAGTATCTTTCCATTGTTATCAACCAAAAAAATGTTTTTACGGGCACCTTTTGTTACTCCTAACGGTTACAATTTGTCAATTTTTACGACGAGCGGTTAAAATGTTTTGGCCGTTTTATGGTTAACGGGTAACTCTAATTAGGATCTCATAAAATCTTATTTAACAGAAAAGCGGGTAACAGTCGAGCTATGAAATAATGCTTACGTCATTTTAGTAATTTGCGCATGAGGCAGATGTAACGGTCTGTGTGCTTGTGTAGTTCAATGAGTAGTCGCCCAGGAAGTTTTTGTATGATTATTTCAAGAAATTAAGACGAAATCCGCTGAGTAATCAATTGACTAGTTTTTCGGTGGAAGAAAGATAGGATTTACACAAGCCAGTACCGAAAACAAACAGACTCTCACAACTTCAAAGCAAACATCGTACATTTGCATTTACTTACAATTTCACTCTGTGGCATTTATAACTGGAGAGGTAAATCTTGAAAGACTAATCCTCTTTGGAATAGAACTATACTTTCTGTAAGATCTCTGAGTGTTTGTTTTCTTTTTTTGAGAGGAAATGGTCGCTATGGTCATTTAACTGTTTGTCATACCGTTGTTCCTTCAAAAGTGAACAGGCGCTTTTTTTTGCCTCTCCAATTGACAGGTGTCAGATCGTGACAGATACCTATTGAAAAAAACTGTTTCGAAGTTTGCTTTGAAGTTATCTTTACCATTTAGTATATAAAATGTTTCGTTGAAGCCTCTCTCTTTAATTTGAAGACCCTCTGATTTCTTTATCATCTGCTCGCTAAAAATTGTACGGTTTATGAAGGATTTTCCCTGAATTAAACTAGTACTTAAAGCCCTAAATCATTCGAGTTTCTTTGGCAAGCATTTCTTTAAAAGTAAGAAAAAAAATTAAAAATATATTCACCAGCCTAGGTCGGTCCGTATTGGGAAAAGCTGTGCCCTTTGTCTTCGGGTATCCAAGACCTCGCGTGCACAGTTTTTCCTAATACAAACCTCCCGGCTGGTGAATGACATATATTTATCCAATATTGTGACCGAAGAGCGTTGTCTTGTTGCAACTCTAACTTTACAAGTCAGCTTTGAAATAACAAATGTCTCACTTCACACATCACTGTTACAGCAGTAAAGAAACGGGTTCAGTGTAGAGTTAAAGTAAAGTAAAGTTATTGCTATTCCTCTGGTGACGACGAAATGTGATGAAAATGTCTTTCAACAATGCGTTACAATTTCAACTATATAAACTGGCGCATAGCAAACAACTAATGCTACCCGCACCTACAGTGCACTGTGCACTACCTTTCGGTATCGTAAAATGTTCAGTGAATTTGGTTGGCTCGACTGTTGCTGCACAAGACCTTGTACTTGGGCGTTCTGAAAACATAGAGTACAGAAAATCTCTGTGTAAGATACGATTGAGATTTTTAGAGAAAACGGAACCCCTATATATTCAACCCATAAGATTGTACAGTAATCCAAAATGTAGCATAAAGTAACCACACGAGAGGAAACCCAAGTGGCAGCTAAAAATAAATATATGTGCTTCAAAGTTACAATTTGTCTGGATCTTAGCCCTAGTAGCAAGGCGAGAAGCCTGTCTACGCTAATGCCTGCCATTATCGTTAAAGAGACTGAAAAAACAGCATAGCTTGCTAAATAGCCAGCGTCTCTTGTGTATTTACAAAGATCCCGGTGTTCGTAAACTGGGGACATCCAAGAGGCAGCTCCTCAAAAGTTTTCATCTGCTATTCGCCCTCTGTAAAATTTGTTGTCGCAACCATGCCGTAGTCTTTTCTTCGTTTTTTCTTGTCGGTTATCTGTGAATGCAAAAACAAATATTTCGTCTTACCATAACCCTCCAAGCCACAATCCCTTAAACTTAAATACCTTATGATTACTTAAATAATGACTTTTACTTAAGCAATTCCCTATAACTAAGGGTCAGAAAACAACCTATACCTAGGTTATGCCATAAGCCGCAGGCAAAAGCTGACCAACAACAGTTTAAAGAGTCAGGCATGTGGATGAGAGGAAGATTCCTTGCAAAGAGCAACAAGGGGCTACCAAGAATTACTGTAACGGAGAGAAAAATGTTGGCTATTTTTAAAATGAATTCGTTGTTAATGTTGTCATCTGACTACCAAGAAGGGGGACCTTCCAGTTCTTCAAAAGTGTTGCTGCGCTTCTTCCTCGAGTTCAACTTTATGTTGCTTTCGCTTTGCAATGAAGACTTTTTTTTTCTTTATTCGGCTTTAAACGCAACGAGATAAGTTTCGTCTTATCAGCCCCTGCCAGGCCATAAATGGACCTTCTTAACAAAACTGACGTAAATACCGCCCTAAAGAATTTGCTAATTTAAATATATTTGTACTATTTGATAGTCGTGTCACAAAAGACGTCAAAATTTTTCTTCAGCTGTACTCGAGTTAATTATTGCACTATTTTTCAGTCATAAACTTAATGAAGGGATAATTCCTCCGAGTCTAATCTTTTATTTTTCACTTTTTACCCCGAAAGGCCCCCTAAAGAGTTTCAACGGTTTTCATTAAAATCTATTATGCCATTAGCCATGCTAAATAAATCATTTTATCACTTACGGTGCACTGCCATAATAACCACAGAAGCTTATGCTGAAAATGTTTTTAAAATGTCCTGTTTTATGTAAAAAAGAACTTTATTTCTATTTCTTAAAATTGGCGTATGCCAAAAATTGTGTTCTGGTTAGCAAATTTTAATTTTAGGTTTACCTTCTTGAGTTAACTTGGCTAGGAAATTTACAAGACCACTTCTCAGCGGTCCATTTTCTTTTAAGTCATTAAGCCTGCAACGGGTTCGCAGTTAAAGAAAAGCGCACGCTGTCAGTGCTGTAAAGAAGAATCAAAACACGGGAAAGAATGCAAAAGCTGTCATGTAGGCTGCGTGTATAGTTTGTGAATCGAAAAAGACTCCGGTCTTTGTGACCAAAGGACATCCAATGTGTAGCATGGACAGGCTATGCAACAAGACCAACCAACTGATCAGTTGCTGCCAGACTACAGTACAAGAGTTTAGACGATGGATGGGAAAAGGATGACGTGACGTGACGGAAAAGACAATGCTGCCTGTTTAGAAACAAATTGATTGTTGTTGTAGTCTTATCACCAAAGACGGGGAGAGTCGCAATCTTTTCCTTTTCCTACTGCTTATTTCTAACAATACCAATTGATATTTAGTCTCACCTTTGTTCTACATGAACAACTTTTACAAGAAAACGTATAGTGTAAGTACAGTAAGGATGCAAAACTAAAACCACTTTACTCAAATTTTACATACAGGATGGTTCAAAGCCATCACTACATTCAATAAATGATTAAAGGGGGTAAGTTTAAAGAGAAACTGTGTTGCTACTTCGATGGAAAGTATCACAACAACGATCGTTTTTATCAACGGAGTCGATATTATAAATTGGCTACCGTAGAAACTCTTACAGCAGCCAATTTATGTTATCGAATAAAGGCTGATAGTTTCGAAAGAAACTGTTTGGGGCTGCCTCGGTGGGAGTAACGAATTAACTTGGATATATCAACAAAGTTGAAGTGGTAAATTGGCCACCGTAACGATTACAAAAGCTGACGTTTCGAGCGTTAACCCTTCGTCGAGCTAACGCTCGAAACGTCAGCTTTGGTAATCGTTACGATGGCCAATTTACCTCTTCAACTTTGTTGATATATCCAATTTATATTATCAACTTGGTAGATAAATCTTACCATCTTGTACTATTAGAACAGAAAAAATCATCGTGCAGTTTACATATGACTTGAAAATAAAAGTGAATCATAAATATTTGTCACTTCTTTTTTCTCTGGTCCAGCAACTGGTCACGGAGAGGTTCAAGTGTTAAGCGTGACCAATTTTGTCTACCTACAATCCAAAACCCGTTTTTAAAAATGGAAACAAAACAAACATAAACGACTTTGATTAAATAAGGAGGTAGGTTTCTAAAGAAACTGTGGGCATCGTCAGTGGGGGGTTTACAAGATAACTTGAATTTATCAAGTTGATAATTAGTGCCGTAAAGAATTTCTAAAGCAGATGGTCGAGCGTGAGCCCTTCGTTAATTAGAACGAATGACGAACGGTTTACACTTGAAACGTTAGCTTTAGGAACTCTTTATGGTGGCCACTTCAGCAAACTAAGGTTTGGCCGTATCATTAGCCTGCGTATTTTTACAATAAAATCTCTCGGCGAATAATAGACCTCTTGAGCCACAAGTTGTGTCTTTTGTGTTTTGAGAGCTATTTTATGACCGGTTCCGCGTAACAGGTCGAAAACCCCTTACGCATAAGGGTTCGGACATTAGGAATCGTCGACAACTGCTCCAGGAAATCGAAGTTTGTTTCTTTTCGAATTGTTTGCAAATTTCTGTCATTTTTAAGACCTTCGCACAACCTTATTCAGACCTACTACGGCTACGGCATAAACTTCATTCGCGGCCGGTGAAATAGTTTTTATAAAGATATTTCTTGTTTTTGAAAAGTCCTAGTAGCCGGTACGGAACTTGTTTACCTTAGACTGGTCAAATCAAAGTAGTAGAAAAGTATTACAATTTTTTTTAAGCTTATGGAGGAAAATTAACATAAATGATTTATCATTCTGCACTCTGCACTTAATTTCCTTTACACAGGATGAAACATTTTTGCTTCGCCTCAAGGCAGCATAGTGATTTTTGGGGTCATCAGATTTAACCATTTTTCTACATTCTCTATTTGAACGCATAAACTGTTCGAAGCTAATGATAAAGGTAGGTTTAAACACTAGCCCAGCAAAATAAGCTGATTCATGTTTTAGTAGCCAATTGCGTTTGTGATCATTTTCAAGATAAGAATATGCAAATATACCTTTGCGAATACGTCTATAGATGTCAGCGAGATTTGGGGTTTCTAGCATCAATTTACGGATTTCCTGCAGAGAAAAACCTTTTCGTCATAAATGTCATTTTCAAATAAGCAGGACTGGAAGACATACAAACTGACACTTCTGAAATCGCTAGAAAGTAAAGTTTTGTTTATGATAAAATCGCATGTTTGCCTCTAAATTTTAAAGAATTTGTATTGCACCAGAAAGCTATGAACATTTTTGTTATTTCAAACGAATATTTTTACTGAATAACAAAGTACGTGATGTTTTCTATTAGTGTAATTTTTATGGAAAGTGTTTTATTTGAAGTATTCGTTTCCTTCCGAGAATTCTAGATAATGGGAACAATAATAGCAAATTTACACAGCGATGGAAACTTTCATTTATTAATGGCATAACATTCGAAAACCCTGTCGCATGACGTCACACGTAGTGGTATTTACATCCTTTCCTATGGCCTTCGTGACCTACAAGTGATCTCTACGATGTTATCTACCCGTAATAAATGTTAAGTATCGCATTTATAGCCATTAAGCTCACGGAAAAGACACAAGAGGTCTGTGCAGAACATAGGCTAAATTTTTGGTGAGAGATTTCAAGAAACAGCCGAAGCCCGACTTAAGGTACTGACGAGAATTCTGAATCCAAATTCTTATTGTGTGTATAACCGACTGCGGCACATTCTCGTTATCTAGGAAGATTAACACTACAACATGTCGTTACAACTAGTGTTTTTTGCTAAATTTCTCGAATAATACTTGCTAGAAAGGAAGATGTAGTGTGTGAAAGTATTAATTTTTTTCAAGGTTAATTTTATCATAGAACGGCGGGCAGTTTTGGCAACATTTTTTTTTTTTGCCGAATTGCCTTGCCAGAAGCCGCAACTTTTTCATTTTACTAATTACCACATTGGTGTTCTACTTCTTAACGAGGATTTATTCGATATTCAATATCAAAGTGCAATTTAGGGTCAAGATTATCCCTGAAAATTCCACGCTATTATTTCTTAAACTTCATTGCAAAATTTTTACTACTTATAATAACTTTGAAGGGTGTTTTCAACGATAAATATAAGAATTCTCTCGGCAAACAAAGAAGGCAATTATAATTTTTATTCCATAGTCTTTTGTAAATAAAGAGGAGTCTATATGCACGAAACCCTAGGACTGACAATAGTGTGTTAATTATTATTTTTTTATTTTTTAAAGAGAAAAAGGAAAGGTTTTTGATTTATAAATTTTAAACAAACGTTCAATGTGGCTGTGTTGCTCTTCTCGGACCGCACTTGTATCCTAAAATAAAAACTGGCCCTGAACACAGACAGTGTTTTTTTTCCACGCCACGTCTTCTTTTCAAGTGTAGCGAATAAAAATGCCCCGATTTCAAATTCGCCCTTTGAAGAAATTAATAACGCCGTATGTAGCCGGTGCTTGTAAACTGTTCATGACAAGCTGTAAAAATAACCCACGAGTTGTTTCATTTTTGCATTTGTTTTTCAAACCGCCTGTGGAAAAAAATTAATTATTCATTGGTTAAGTACGGTTTTTTTTTTTTTTTATTGTGTTCACAGTTGAGTCGCTATAGGATATTCTAGTGTGGAATGTTTTCTAAAACATTAAGTGCGAAATGTAATAGCACCAAATACAATGAAGGTTTCAAAATCAAAATTTCCTGGAACAGCACCACGTGCAAAGAAAGTATTGAGATGAGCTCTGATATTCAGAAATGTATCATCGTCTTTGTCACTCTTTCAAATATTCAGCGAAAGACAATTCTAAAATCGAACCTTTCATGATAATCATGAAATATGAGGCAATTAAAGCATAGCTGTTGAAACACCGTGTAATATACTAATTGGTGTAATGCCTGCATGCCAAGTTTTGATCTTTATTATTCGTTGTTGTTTTTCTAAGTTTTAATCCATTTTGTATATATTCACAGGTTCATATCCTTGACTTCATCAATATTCCTTCGTCGGCATTTTCCACAATCATTTTGAGCGTCACTGTAGTATATCATTATGAATATCATTACTATTGTTATCATGATTGTTATTACCAATTTAACGACGAAATATAAAATGTACTCCTGCCAGGCTTACGAATGTAATGTACAAACTTAAGCACACAAGCATCTGGGAGTATTAATACACGAGTACGATTATAGTTTAAGATTCAAAATTGAAATATTAGCATTTTAGAATTGAGGGAAAGCATATTGTTTGTACAAAGCGGCGAATAGTATGTCAAAATCTTTTAGTTTTGTTTGCGTCACCCCATAATCGGTCTCAATCGCCTCCTGTTTGAAATTTATGCCATCCATTACCTGATAATTCGAGTTTTGCTTAACTTATTCAGTTTCAATTCGTCTCTCTTGCAATAAGTTATTTTGCCCATGTATAATCAGTACATTATCTTTTTTTTCGTTTTTCGAAGTGGTTTATTGATGTATAAACAAATTAAAGATGTTTAAAAAATAAGTGTCAACTCGGTATTCTCAGAATTTTTGACCAGTGGGTCGGTCTCTTTTTGTTTTGCTATAAAATCGAAGATTGTTGGGCATCAGTGTCGCCCCATCCCTTATTGAAATACATTTTGAAATATAATTCTCATTATAAATATTTAAGGTTAGGGCTGTTAATCATGTGTCTTGTTGCTTCATAAAAAGTGTGTTTTAGAATGATTCAGTCGAGAACTGCCATCAAATTGGGGGAACATGCAACGTAGAGTTTTCGATACGATTAAGAATCGTGAAGCATTGCTGTTATTCCAGAAAATAATTATTACATGTTTACTCTACCTTGCTGAGCTACTTAGTTAAAACACTCAAGACCCGATCAGTTTTCGAGATGGAAAAGTCTATTTCATGATATTCACTTATTCCTTAAAAAAAAAAATTACTACTCGTACATCCATTTTGAGAATTGAGACAGGAGTTTCAAATTTTTAAGTCCAAAAATACAAACGTAACTTCTATCGTGTCTCTGAAATTGCGAGGTTAACACTGGACACAAGAACGTTTTGCCATGTTTACAATTTGATAATGAATTTGAATATAGATTTCTTCGTTTATTATACTCAGTCACTATTCACAATATTATTCATAATACGATCGATAATCACCCCTTGGCCTTATGCAATTTTGAAATTCAATCTGTTAGGACATCCTCTGATATAAGCCTTTTTAGATAATTTAAACACGGTGCACCTGCCGTAACTACTAAAAAAACTTTTTGATGTGGTTGTCATTTTTGTTTACATGCATTTTTAACTTGCAATGCTTGGGATTTATTATTCTAGGTTTCATTTACCAGTAGAAACTGTAAAATCGTTTCTTTCTCGAACCTGATAACCAGATCTAGCAGCTGCAGTTATTATAGACTTTATATTTTAAGGTGAGAATATTGCATCTTGTTTTTCTCCCCTTCTTAGGTATATTGTTAGATCAAAGACAAGAGTTGTATTTGCTTTCAAATCGGCACAAAAGTTCGCTCCATATTCCACAGCTATTTTGCGTTTTTAATCTGACAGAAGTTTTGTACTTGGATTTTCGCTCATTAAGGGCCTAGGTTGTTGAGCTATGATAGAAATTTTTTAACTTATGACCCGTTATGCCTGCTCACACAATCCTATAGAAAACCATAAAGAAGGCTAACGCAGGTCCGAACAGGTAAGCGCGAGCTGGTCCGGAAAAAGCCGAGATGCTCGACAGTCGCACGGCTCAGTTGCGTTTTCTGTTGAGAATACTTATTGCATACTTAAACTTAAAGGAATGCAGAAGTAATGAAATATGTTCCGTGTTTCGATTATTGCGAGTTTCTTTTATTTTTTTTGGCTCGAGGAACCAAACGAAAGGTTTTTATTTATTTATTTATGTTTTTATAATGTAAAACTTTTATTGTAAATGTCCAGTACGCGCTCGTCTTACCGGCGTCTATAATCGCGCCTGGGCTTTTTAAAATTTAAAAACGCACAGGTCATATATGATAAGATACACATCAACTTGGTGAGGGGGACCGAAAGGGAAGATATTTTGTTCGGGGTCATTGCGTTCGGATTGGGGGCAGTAAGAATTGATCGCTTTGGGTGATCGCCATTACGTGACTCTGATGATAACTTCTGCTCAGCGAGTCGAAACCTATTGTGCATTGTAAATGTAGGAGAAAATTGAAAAAGTCCAAAGGCAATCGGTAGCTATAACTGAAGACACTTCAGCCCCAGAGGAAGTCCTCTCAGACTGAAGACTCTAAATCGGACTTGCAACAGATTCCGACTTACTCTAGCGTTGTCGAAACTGTTGCCGATGAGAATCCACAACTGGATTCCCCTCACCAGGACACGATATTTGAAATTCTCATAAGACAATTTTGGGATATTGATTCATTTTTCCAAGACCCTGAAGACAAGATGACATAAATTTCGTTGAATAAACAAGACTTGGACAGACAGACAGACAGACAGACAGACAGAGAAACGACCCAATCGACAGACACACGAACTGACGGATATGGTAAAATAGATAGATAAACCCAGACGTGTACGGAAAGACAGAGGTACACGGAAAGTAAACACACCATTTCAAAGCTCTAGATACTTGATTGGGTTGCCCCCTTGTTTTTGCAAAAGGTAAGGCTAATGTTTCATGTGAATGATCATTGTTTGTGAATATTTCACTGTTTAGTATTCGGTGCTACATATTTTTGAACCGAAAATCTAAAAAGATTTACAGTGGGATTAATCATAGTTGAAACTAACTGAAAACTTATACACCTCTGCTTTTCTTTTCAGCCGTGGGGTCACGATAAGCCCCTGAATTTCAATTCCACTTGACACTCCTCTTACTTTGGTGGCAAACGCTGTGAAGTATTGTTCGACGGAATTGGAATCCTTTGGGAATCATACAACCAGGTAGTTTTAAAGCATATTTTTAACAAGTGGGTGATTCTCTACTATGCTTACTTATCATGTTTCCCGAAGAGGCTAATTGACGTCAACTGCTTTCTCCACCAACAGGTGCATGGTGAAGCAAATCCTCACACTTTTACTTGTGGCTGTCTTTTTGTCACCTCGTTTATCAGCGTCTGTCACGGAAATGTGTGTCACGCCAATCTGTCGTTGCACATCTCATCCTAGTTACAACGTGACAGTCATTTGCCATACAAATGACGTAAAATACGACTTAAGCCATTCCATAAAGAAGTCAGGAGAAATCGTAGCTCTGTATGTAAATCATCTTTGCTTCATTCTTCTTTGGTATGCAATGGTTATTGAACTGAGTGGAGCGCAATTTGTTCTAAAATGATACGCGTAATTTCAAAATCAAACGAACGCTCAGAATAATTGTGATTTTAGACTAAAATTGCACAAGACGAAGTTCAACGACCATTCGATCACTTCCATTTTAAAATCGAAAAATTGAATCGCCAAGATACAGAATCTTTGTCAGTTCAGGAATTTATTTGCTCCCATGTAGATCCAGTTTATAAAAAATGAGGAACCGGGAACAGATGAAAAGAAAGAAAAGTTTGGAGACAAAATTTTTTGTTTTTGTTTTTATTTTCCTGCGATTTGATTAGTTATTTTAAACCAGCGTTGAACTTGGATTGACTGAATTGTTTTAGTATTGGTTTTTTATTGACCGCTTTCAAAAATGGCTGCCGGATTAAGATTCTTTTGTTTAAATTCAAATTAGCCTTTCTGGCCTCGCTTGAGATAATGTATTCTTTTAAATTTTGTACTGGAGAACGATGCCAGAAAGGCTGATTTAAATTCAAATAAAAGAACATTTATTAATCCGGAAGTCATTAATGAAAGGGGTCAATTGGCTGGGATAAAGATGCGACTTAGAGCAAAATATTGTGTTTAAGTGAAAGAATACCATTTCTGAGGGCCAATCACATTGCAAGGATCACCAGAAATTTGAATGGAGGTGATGAAGGGTGAAATCATCTTTGAAAATTGTCGTAAGGGCCACAGTAGAGAATTATGCATCCTTGCTAAGGCGGATTAAAGACGAAAGATCCATGTTGCACTCTTCGATTGAGCGTCATAAACTTAAATCAAGGTTATCACTACAAGCAATCTGTAGAAAGGACTAAAATATCACAAGGAGCAAATGAAAATTCAAATTAAAATTCATTCCCTCAACTTCATTCTCATTTGAATCAAATCTAGTAATCGGATCATTCGCTTTCTTAAACCTTTGTGCCTCTTCTTACCATACGATTCGCCCGTCTGAGAAGTCTTTAGCAGTGGCATATTTTAATGTCAGGAACCATTTTTAATGCTGAAAAAATCTTTCAGTCTCGCAGCATTATCAAATTCTTCAGTTAGACATTTTGTATTAGACCAGCTTTATTGTTCTCTGATTTATTGATTTATCCTTCTTTTTCTTATCTTGTTCTCTCTATCTATTTTTATTGTAAGCCATATTAAAACTAGTTTAATTTGGCCGCCTAACAAAACAAGACAAAACAAAACAAACAAAAATAAAAAAAGGCAAAAAAACTTTTCCTGGGCAATTAAAGCTGGAACCGGTACACAAAGATTTATCCTACTAGAACAGCAGTAGTATTTTACTAAGATATGGGACAAAAAGAAGCAGCTTGTATTCATTGAATTATCATTGGATCAAGATAGAATGAATTATGCTAGAGTCGTCTAACAAACAGTATCCCTTTAATTAATGATACTATATTTTTTAGATCAGTCATAGATGAAAATGCCACCAATATACCAGAAGGTACATTTGCCAAGTTCACAAAGTTGAAATACTTGTAAGTGTTTTTAGCAACCTATAATTGAACATACCTTTAAGGTTTATTCGCTTTTTTTCTCCCTTGGCCTATTGGCATGACAACTTTTTATTGTTCAAAGCATACTCATATATTTTCAAAAATCTGTTAAATCAACGTATCCTGGATCACTATACTGCAGTCGACCAATAATCATAATGTCAAACAAAAACGAAAAAAAAACAAACATTGTAAACTTGTCAGTTGTATATCACATGATCGTTGCCATATCTAATCATTATTCATCGAAGTGGAGGTGAATAGTGGTAGATGTTTTCCAAGCCGTGAAGTGGCGAAGTAAATATCCAACACTTTCACAGACACGGAGGTAAATGATTGTTGTAGTATATAACTCACAGAAAATTGATTTGTCTCTTCGGCTGCTCGGAGCTCAAGAGTACTGGCCAGCCTTTCCCAAACTAGCCAATCAAGGTGCACGAAAAGCACTATTCACCTGTGTGGTATATACTAACGATTAATATTCGCTAGTTCAGTAGGATGACGCATGAAATGTGAAGAATATTAGTGACTGATCGCTGGTTTGATTTTCTCAAAGGGAACTCAAATTCAAGAACCTGAAGACCTGGAATGGGAATATTTCTCAGGAGTTACCTTCTCTCGAAGCGATTTCCTTGGTGACTATGAGCGTCTTTGCTCCTCCTATACACGTTCTAAAGGCGCCAAAGCTTCAACGCATCTCTGGTGCAACTTGGAGCAACGCTTGCACCAACAGGACACTTGTAAAGAATCAAACTCACATAAACGTAACGCGTTTTCAAAAAGGATTGTACGACATTTATCCAAAGTCCTTCTGTCGTGGTTCACGCTACGTCGTCGAGTCAATATCTCGCCTATTTGCCAAGTATGGTTTTATAATTATTTTCGATGAAAAATGCTTCGCCTCAGAGGTGACGGTAATTCCAATGCACCGATGCTGGGACAGCGCTAATGAAGCTCTATATGTAGAATACTTGTTAACTCCATTAATAATAATCCTCAACTTGACCGTGTTTTTTACTATGGCTACCACGAAAACACTCAGAAAACTACCTTGTATGTTGTTAGTCGCAAATTTAGCCATGAGTGATTTTTTCCTAGGAGTCTATTCCCTTGTTATCACGTCATCACGTCACGCATTAACGTATCAACCCTTCGTTGGTGTGATGAGCTCTCTCTGTCCCGCTCTTGGTTTTGTGTGGGTTGTCGGGCAATTCGGAGTGGCTCTGTCTTCATTGCTGCTGACTACTGAACGATACATAGCAATTATCTTCTCTATGAGACCAAGTATCTCTGTCACAACAAAGTTATGCCTCTATTGCATGGGTACCTCATGGACAATAGCTGTATTTATGGCATCCCTACCATTCTTCGGTGTGGGTACGTACACCACGACTACATTCTGCCTTCCAATTCAGCCTGCGAAGGGAATCCCTCATTCGTTTGCATACAGCATTAGTGTCGTCGCAAATGGATTCCTGTTGTACATCATTACAATTCCTATGTATCTCCATATTTTTGTTCATGTGAGGAAGTCAGGGAACCGAATGGGTGTAAAGCGAGATGGAAAACTGGCCAAAAAGATTTCAATCTTGGTCGTCAGCAATTTTATATTTTTTCTTGTTCCAGTGTTTATTGGCGTGTTGTGGTTGATGACCCAAACCTTCAACAACGTTTCCTTAACGACCAGAGAAATTTTAGTCGGTTCATTAACAACTGTTTGTTTTAGCATCAACTCCTTTTTAAACCCTCTTCTCTATGCATTTAGGGACAGAAGGTTTCGAGTCACATTAAAACATAGATTGCATCGTCTTATTCATCCAAACACCACTTTTGTTCAACAAGTCAGCTACAGATCTGCGGCCGATACAAGATCTTATGCCGGAAACAATATGAAACTTCAATAGGAAAAAACGATGGAAATAAACGTATTAGTGATAAATTGTAGTAGATGCCAAAACACATCTTTAAGCGGCAAGTACTAGATAATTCAGCGGCTGGAAATTGAACTTGTAGGCACCAGCCTTTGAGAAAAAAATTAGTTTAAAGAGGTATGCTACAAAAAGAAAAGCCTCAAAACCATGAAATATTTATCTCTGCTATTAACCTACTACTTACCGAGTTTTAAAATTTCAAACGGTAACCCAGCGTTTCGAAACTGTCTTCAAATAGGCTGAAAATATGAGTCTAGATCCGCCACTTTTAAAGACAACTTAGTAATCTAGCCCAACAGTCGCAGAACATCGTGAGTCACAACTTGATGTTGAAAATAGCTTCTGCTTTGGTTAAAGCAAACAATTACAACATCAAAATTAATTGAGTCATGGGTGTCTTTTCTTTTATATGTCAAACCATCTAATAAGGTATATTTATTGGTTTTCGCTTTGCCCTTTCAAAGGAAAGACGCTCAACATCTCAGCTCTTCAAAACCCGCTAAACATTTCTATTGATCATCATTTCCCACTCAATGATGACAATCTTTCCAAATTTCTTTAGTAGGCATCATTTACCTCAGTGTATAAATATACGATCCCAGATTTGTTGTATTCATTATCGTTAACGGCTGTACAGCAACTATTTGCACAAGTAGGAATTTGGTGATTCGTTGGATATAATAGCGCCAAACAAAATCTATGCCTGGTTAGCTCATGTTGTAGAGTGCCGGACTGCTGTGCTGGAGGTCGAGAGTACACGCCAAAGGGTCTTAATATAATTTAGGAGAATGTACTGCCTTTGTTATGACATCTGCAAATGGTTAGACATTCTAGCCTTCTCGGATGAGGACGAAAAAATCATAGGCCCCGTTTCCTGCATCTTGTTAGAACTGATTAACAGGGGAAGTAGAGGAACCCACACAATTATTGCAAGGAGTAGGGAACATAGCTCCTGAAGTTTTGTCTGACCTTGATTGTGAAATTTGGGGCATCTGCGAAAATTCCCTGCTCAATACAGTCTGGCCAAAGTCCCCCGCAAAGTGTTGTAAATTAGCTCAGAATACCTCTGTAGGAGCAGAGTTAATAAAGCTACAACATTATTTTACTTGCTGAATGATACGCACCATTCTTCTATCTTATCTCCTATCCGAACAGATGCCTTACCACACTGCATTAAGTGTTTAAACATGGTCTCAATACAGCTGCTTGACTTTTTCCCGTTCAGTTTCGTTGAGGAGTTTTTCAAAGTGTCGCATCTTGCTCAACAAGACATGTACTCACACAGAACGTCCACATAGGAAGTATGAAAATTGAGGAAAGTTAGTTAAATTGTCTGAACACATTATATGAAAAAACATTGAAGAAAGTTAATTAAATTGTTTAAACACATTACATGAATTATATGAATTACATGAATTGTTCTTGTCCATGGCCACGACATTGATCATTAGATTGAGAAGAGAATTAAAAAATATATATATAAAAACAAAGAACTTTGACTTTCTGCTTTTGTTGGTGAAGTTCAAAGCGCTTATGGCTCGGCGAAGATGTATTTTTTAGTATTGTTCTCACGTACCATTATGACAATAAGGTACTAGACTACCTTTTTCTGCTTTACTAAACAGGAGACTGAGTTAAAGTTAACTTTCAGGTTGATCATCAGAAATCGTGCGTTGAAACTAAAACCAATGAGAGATCTTGGCAAAGATTTTTCGAGGGAGCCGCAGCTTTCACATCGTACCAAATGAATCTTAATGAGACCGTGAGAAATTCTTACTGCTTTCATCTTCCGGATCCAGTTTTTCAAGCAGCTCCAGAACGTATCACAACAATTCTCATAATGGCTGTCATCAACATCCCAGCTATTTCAATCGCCATTATCGCGAATGTACTGATTGTTGCTGCCATCATCAGCTGCAGTGGTTTTCGATCTCCCTCCAATCTACTGATTGCCTCGTTGGTGCTGTCTGATCTATTAGTCGGCTTAACAACTCAGCCAGGATATATTGGCTACAGGGTTTTAGAATTCCCACTAGGCTTTTCATGGTTGTTCTAGATTTTTAGGGAGAGTAACAGGAGGAATGATTATCCAATGCAGATGGACGCTCCATCTGTATTTCAGTGCAGTCAATAATCAATGCTGTCTTGGGATAAAATTCCTTGAAAAGGCTGGGCATGTGTTCCTGAAGAACATCTCGTGGTGGAATGATAATGAGTTCCTGAAGTTCAAGGCGTAGAAATCGAATCCATGTCCTAAATATTACAGAAACATTTGATTCTGAAATTTCAAGTCTGTGAGCCAAATCTCTTTCAAACAGGCCAAGCCTTAGTCGCATCAACACTAGAAAAAATCCTGAAATGTTGTAAGAATTCTTGGTCGACCTGGTTGCAAAACTGGGGGGCAATCAAAACATTTTCGATCATAATTTGCATAGCTCATGTTTTTCGCTGCATCCTTCACCATACCAAAGCAAAGCATTAGTGTTTTATGATTGGGAAATCCAGTGTAAAAAGCAATGTCTCAGTCCTTATCTTTGAACTGATTAATGTCAAATCTAAGTAGTCCCGTTTGGGTGGCAAAACTTACATTTACCACTTCATAACATCCAGTTTGCAAAGATTCATCTTTGTTGCGTACTTGTTCCGTTTGCATACCTTGATCACCTGTGGGCAGCACATCCTCCGTCTGACAGAGATCACTTTCTGGCAAAGGGTCTTCGGAATAGACTTTCTTTACAATTTTTTCGGAAGAAACACGCTTTAAAATACGTCGAGTTTCCACATGCTTAGACCATGGAAAAATCGAAGGTAAATGAAGCCTGCTGCGCTTATGTCCACTCTCCAAGTGATCTCCGCAAATACGTGTATTATCGGCGTCGATTTTTAATGTTGCATTACGAATTAGAATTTTGTATCGTCTTCGTAATTTGCTGTCATTTGGAATTCGGTAATACGAAAGCCCATCCTTGGTTCTGTAATTATTCGTACATCCAGGAACACAACAGTTAGCATGCTTTACCATTTGTTTCTTTAGTGTTTTACGAAAACTTTCCTCGTTACCGCCATTTTGAAGTTTCGCGCGTCCACCCAAACGATCCCAGACGACCCTTCGAGTCAAGTTCGTGCCCAGATTTCCAATAGTTTCTGGAGTGGGGAATTGCAAAGAAGCAATGCGGTAAGCATTAAAAAAGAGAAGGCCCACTTTTAACTACAACTGTAAACCGTAACAAAATCCCAAAACAAGGCTTTTGGAGCCCGAAAGGGCAAATTAGCAACAAAATCCCTAGAGGGGCCCTTAAATGATACTCATCATAATAAGATCCCTTGGCAGGGCCTCTGAGTCCAATCCACACCTAAAGGGCCGACAAAATCCAAGAAAAGGGCTTTTGAACGATCAGTTAGTAGCGCCTAATATAAGATGGGAAATTAATTATAGCAAATTCTAATTTTCGAAAAATAGAATTCTCGAAAACTTAGGTTTTTTGTTACCTTTTTATTAGCACCAGTTCATTAGTCGTTATCTGTAATTACATAATCATTAGCACTTTGATCCTATTTAATGCTCTTTTTTTATTTCAAAAGTTGTAAATAACTGAAGAAGGTCTCTGACCGAAACGTTTTTTATTCAA